GCACACCATAGAACCTGCACAGCCACCTGAGAGTTCGTACTATTAGACTATTTGCCATTATTTTTCCTAGACTTCTACTTTCATAGCTAGTTATTACTAAAACCAGTAATAATTGAATGCAGGGGCAATTATTTAATTTGATAATGAGTAAATACATTTATATAATCTTACAGATACAACCAGTCCTTTGAGGGTAACCATAATGCTGATGTAGCCCGCAATGAAATTGAGTTTCACACCCCTGCTCTAAAGCATCCTTTCTCAACCAGGGTGCTGCAGAGTCCAAAGTAAAAGGGGACATTTTCCATTGACTATCAAGGTATGGAGGAAATTTATTTCCATGACATACTGAATATGTTATGCTTTGTGTTTTAACTATAATCATTTTATCAGGGGTTCCCGGAGACCTTAAAATTATTTCAAGGGTTTCTCCTTGGTCAAAAGCTTGGGAAAGATTGCTCTAAAGATCTAAAAAATATCACTTCCATTAATCACTACCACTGATTAGGGGTTACTGAAAATTATTTCAAGGGTTTCTCCTTGGTAAAAAGATTGAGAAAGATTGATCTAAAGATTTAAAATCCTGGATGTATATCCTTTTCTGAATGATGTGGGTAGCTCTATCCTCTACTTAGCCCGCCTCTGGCAAAAGAAACAGAAACAAACAGTGGGTGCCTCTACATTAAAGAGGTGGGAAATAGTCTGTGGTGTCAGAACTCATGGTGAATCCAGCAGTTTAAATTGAGGATCACTGAGGAGTGGCAATTGGCTTTGTAAAATAGTCAGTTGGTAAAATTCTGTCTTTGTTGCAAAGCCCAAACAAACCAGGAAGCTAACACTTAAATAGAGTGCAGTCTCCCTATTTTTTAGCACCCTATTGATTTTTTTTTTCTTTTTTTGCTTTGCCAAATCACTAGCAACACAGATTGTTTTTTAATCATTTACATATTTCTTCTGTGCAACACTCCAAGGAAGGGACAACATATCCACTATTTGCAGTATAAGCCATTTACTACACTACTACTAAAACTGTTAAAGTTGAACATATATAAATAGTTCCTTAATTATCATTAATCAATAACTGTTGTTCCAAACAGTCATCTAGTCACCGAGTAATCCCCACTTGAATTCATCATAACAAGGCCTCATTCTCCTCTGTATCTGTCCCATGAGACCAGTGGCCACTCTGCAAGCTCCTTCCACCGTCACATCTGTCCCCATTAAGAGCTATAATTCACTCACCCACAATAGCATTAACTGAAAACTATAATACCCAATGTATTATGGGAATTGTAGTTGGTTCCAGGTATGCTGCACAGTCGGAGGAAGTGACAGCATCACTTGTTTGATTCCTTTTCTGGGTGCCCGGCATAGCTGCTTTTTGTGAATGAACAAAACCATAACTAATTTTTGTTGTACTTGGTGGCAGGCAGTGATAGTTATAATTAATCAGTAGCCTGGATATCAGCTTTAAATAATAAGTGGAATTTCACATAGACGTGTCCTTATTTAATATCCCTATGTAATGTCATATACAGCAAATCTGTGGATTTGTATAAACACCTCTTCCCCAGGCCAGCCTGTACTGGGGCTGGTGGCTTAAGTTAGTAATGAGCCTAAGTTCACCCAAGCCTGCTTCAAACTGTAAATGCCACCCCTCCTGGCTAATCAGTTGCGGAGGGGCACATACCCCGCAGCTATATGTCAAAAAAGGGCAGAGAATGCCCCCATAGAAACTGGCGCTACTAGGTGGGCCAGGAGGGGGAGAGTGGCGGTCACAGTTTGGAGTGGGCTTGGGCAACTCAGACAAACTCACCTCTAGTCTAGGTGAATGAAAGCCATTTTGGTACCACACAGAAGTGCCTTGACATAGACAGAAGGAATATAGGAAAACAGGTTTGTGCTTGATTAAAGGGGGTTATAGCCTAACACACAACCAATCCCACTCATTAGGCTGGACTAAGGGAAGATTTTACTCCTAAAGGTACAGTTGGGTTTTAGATTGCAACTGTTTCTGAAAGAAAAAAGGGTGCTGCCCTTGCTAACCTCCTTTTAATAATACAATTTGCCTGGTGGTGCCTGGCTTAAATAACGTCTGGGTCACAGACCCAGAACATGCTTGCAGGAAATAAAGAGGACAGGTTTCCTTAAAAAAAGGAATCATTAGTACTTCAATTAGTAGATACATTTCCAGATGTTACAATTGTGTTTGTAGAGCAATACAAATTATGATAAAAGCCTGTAGGATGCATATTTCAAGGAGGAAAATGCATTACTAATCATGAGGACTTGCTGAGACATAATTTCCCAATCTTTGAGAACATCTGTGAACCCCGGATGGCCTGCCTAGACTCCATTTATTCTTTCGGTCTTTCCTAATAGACATGAACCAGCTACTATACCTCTTTTTAAAAATTTTTCTCCATTTGTTCAGCTTGTTAGTGTGAGAATCCTTACAAACCTCTACACACACCTATAGCAATTCCATGAGATGGACAGATAGGACAGATAGATCTATTTGATTCCCTCTCCAAAATAGCAATTAAAGTGCATCGAAGCCCAAAGCTGTTTTAGTTTTGGATAGAGTAGGTAAAAATAAAAAAAAAAACTCTATTGGTTCTTACTGTAGTTTGTTTCTCCACTGCTGAGATTCACCCCTTTATTTGACCCGGTGAAAAAGATCACTGGAAAGGAAACTGATGGGCAAATCTTGAGTTGCCACCAGAACATAAATGATGGAGAGATCTTTTAATGGGGGCACTTGTTGCCACAACAACTGCCAACTTTGGAGAGTTTTCTTCTCACTTCCTGTGGTGGTTAAACGACAGGATGTGAACGGAAATCTCCCAAATTAAACATAGATGATTAAAAAAAGCAGGGGATTTATCTTTTCCCTGCTCTATGCAAAATAAAAAAGGTTTGGCTTTAGGTACACTTTAAACCTAAATGCAAGTGATTTACAAAAATTAATTGAATTTTAAATGATGAACAAATAGTATCAATCAGGCTTCTATTGATACATAGATATGAAAATGTAGGCCCATTTAATTCTATGTCACATGATAACATGAGTTGCGTTAAAGAAGAACTCCAGGAAAATCAAAAACGTACCTGTGCATTGAGGCTGCCCCCTACACAGCATGGGTTAAATGCTCGTTTCGTCTAAGGCAAATATGAATATTATATAGGATTTATATAGCGCCAACAGTTTGCACAGTGCTTTAGTTTACAATATAAGGAAGACATTATAATTACAATAAAATTCAAGACCAGATGGCAAGGAGGGCCTATGGAATGTCCCTCACGTCTAATGCAAGTCAATGGACCTGCATAAGACATGATGATGTCAGCGGTCTCTAGACCGCTGGAGCCCACGGGAGAAGAGGCTGTGGGTACCGGTCTAGCAGCCCCTGAGGATCAGAAGACTATATCTGTTTTATTTTAGCCCCCTAGGCAAAACTAGCACTTCAGTCTTGCAGGGCAAAGGTAGCCCCACTGCAAGGGTACATTTTGGATTTTCCTGGAGTTCTTCTTTAAAGCAGACCATTAAAAATGAATGGGCTACCAATGTACCCCAACTAGGTAAAAATTGTTCATGACCCTTTTTTGTAATGCAACGCACCTCACTACCACGCATTGCAGCACACTACAATGCAGGTGTGTTGCCTTCATGTGTTGGGATGCCATTCAAAATGAATGGCACTACAACGCATATTATGTTACTGTGTGTTGCGATAACATGCACATTACCATGATGTGGAAGTGCTAATGGGCCCTAATATACCGTCTAATTTATTGTGGCAGTAAAAAGAACCATGATGTGCAGTTAATACAACCATATTTCACCTAATGCTAGATTAGTGTTGTCAGAACAGTACAAGGAGATGGCTGGTTGCAATGGGTTACATCACATTTCTTGTGGTCTATGCAGTCGCATTCTCATGACACGTTAACACAGGTGTAGGCAACCTTGACACTCCAGCTGTTGTGGAACCTCAAGTCCCATGAGGCATTGCAAGTCTGACAGCCACAAGCATAACTCCCAGAGTCATGATTGAATGAGCAGTTTCACCACGACTAGAGTGCCAAGGTTGCCTAGCCCTGCGTTAACATATATTATTTAAATGCATTCAACATTGCTCAATATCTTGCAGTTTATATGTCCAGGATAAGGCTCCCTTACAGTGATTACTGTACCCCAAAAAAAAGGAGCACCTGGCAGATATATCAGAGTAAACTTCAAAATCCAAATCTTGTCATCAAACTGCTCAGCAGGAAATTAAATTACTCAGATTACCATCCAGCCCCCCATCGGAGACAGAGGAGAGGGTGTGGGGGGTGTGTTTGTGTGTCATTGATAGGACAATATGGCTGCTTTCATTGAGTGACAGTCACTCCACATGAGCAGACCTTAAGGACAATGTTAAAAATGAATCTCATCTAGTAAAGCCTGATATATAACAAGCAGCTTGGTAACTCGATAAGACGATGACAGAAATAGTACCGGCATACGGAAGAAACTTTACAGATCAGAATAGAATTAGTAAATAGCTTAATGTATCGGTTGGCGTAATGAGAAAAATGTAATAAACCCAGAAGGCGGTCGTGCCTAGGGCTTTAGTGGAATGAAAAAGAAGCTTTGTAGCAGGGAATGTTGCAGCAGCTAAAGAAGGAGACGAGGCAGCTTGCTGCAGAGAGGAGAGGTCACTTTCCAAATATAGCAATAGCAGAGCATTCCCTTGCAGGTCCTATGACCGGTGGGCCATAGAAAACTGAGAAAAAGCTCATTAATTCTACATACAGCTCTTCCACCCAAGTCATGAAAATAAAGAGGTGAATGGTCTTTGGCGACAAGCCTACAGCACTGCCTTTCAGATATAAGAAGCTGTCAGATTCTGACAGTCTTGACCTGTCCTGCTGAGATAAAAAAAGCATGACACCCTAGGAAGGTTTTTTTTTGGAATACACAGGCTAGATGATGAGTGATAAGCTTCTCTTACCTTGACCAGAGATGTAGATGAGAGCTCCTGGGGCACTTGGAGTAATATTAGTGATAATGATATATTCCTTATCTTCAGCCCAAGCGGTGGCGGTGGGCTCTCAGCTCCTCGTTGCCTGCGTGTGTGGCTTTGTGCACTGCTAGCATGCACTCCCTCTGTCCAGTGCTGAGCTGCCTCGCTCTCTACTCAGAAAGAAATTGACGAAAGACTCTAGTGTGTGTCTATGTATGTGTGATGCAGGAGGCTCCTGCTGCAGTAACAGCTGCTGCTATCAACATTGAAGCAAAATAACTCAACACCCAACAGCTGAAAGACAGAATGATGGGGTGAGGAGGGGAAGTGTTCAACAAAGGGAGGAGTAGTGCCTTTTCCTCTATGACTGGCTGCATTGTCCCTTCAATTTTTTATTTTTTTTTCAAGCGTAATCACAAATGCTTTAGATAAGATTTATAACTGGCCATAGAGCACCAGACCCAGTACAATGCTTTACAGGAGGCACCAGGCACCCAACTTTGCTATTAGATAATGAAGTGAGCACAAGCTGTTTTGCTGACCATCTGGTTGACATATAATTCCTTAAAGTGTTTTTCGACTTTCGCAAACAAATCTGGATAACACTTATTTTATAATTGTTACATGTTCCCATTCATACAGCATAAGCTAAAAAAAATATTTAAAAAATGTTTCTTGCAGTTTAAATTGCTTTTACTTGGGGTAAGGCTTTTACTTGGCTTCTTAAAGTTGTAATAAACTCTCAATCTTTTTTTCAATAATGAATCCAGATCAAACAAATATACAGTATCCAGGATTTCGTTACATTTTTCCCCAAGCACTTACAGTCATCAGGTTTCCAAACAGCTCCACCTCTCTCAGCTCGGCTTCCCTGAGCTTCCTGTACACTACAAGGTCACAAGGAATACAGCAAACAGCAGCAGCTGTCTATCTACTAGTTTGTAGAAAGGACAAGGGAGGGGGGACTGGCTGCCTTGCTGTGTCTGTGTGTTTGTGGAGACACACACAGCTTACTCATCACACACAAGGATGGCTCCTTAGGACCCTAAAACAGGATATGAGGGCCAGTGCTCAGGGGACCAGCTGATTTTGCAGGAAACTAAAACTTTGACACATCAAAAAGCAGCATCCATTGTAAAGGTGCCCATAAACCTTACGATTATCAGACAAAACTTTTCGTCCCATGATCGAACCGTCGTACGATTTTCGTACGACGGCCCCATCCTGCCCCGATTATCGCAAGGTTCAATTAGCGGTAGTTTAAAAAAAAACACCTGGACGACTTGCTTGGTAATTGACCGCAACTATTTTCGTGTGTTTGCTTCCTGTTCTGACAGAGCTGACCAATGAGTGCTCGCCATTTGCAAGCAAAATTTAAAATCCATAGCACAGGGCAGCGCTACACAGCAGTACGGGTACTTTAATACGGTTAGAATTTCTACTTGCTTCTCCTTCTTTGTAATGTCAGGAGGGGTTGTGAGGGGTTAAAGGATTACAGCCCTTGCTTCTCAATTGTATGTTCATGAAGTTAATGAGAGAACCAAAATCCTCAAAGTTCAATCCCAAGTCTTTGTAAAGCTGCCCACACACCTTACAATTTATCTGCAGATTTTCTGTGGTCAGATGGAAAATTTGCAACAGATTCCTTCATCTACACTTAACTGTGTGGATGGAGTAATCTCCACCTGGGCCAATCTGTTGCACTTTTTCCATCTGACTACAGAAAATCTGCAGATAAATTGTAAGGTGTATTGGCAGTTTAAGTCTATAAGGACAGATCACTGTGAAGGTGTTCAGAAAAAAAAACCCTGGATTCAGCCATTTTGTCTGCTGCAGCAAAACATTGAAAATATATATTTGTTAAATCATTTTTTAGTAAGCTGTGTGAATAGGACACGGAACAAACGTATAGAGGGGTTTTCTCGAATTTACTACAAAAGTGGAAATATACTTTAAAGCTTTTAATATATGTTCATAAGACTAATGATTGTAAGGGCCCGGTCACACCATGTGCGGCTTTCCTATATAGCATCAACATCAATCACTGCAAGGGCATGCAACATTTTTCTGCAGCTCACTGGATGGCACTGCCACCGGAGGTCACCACTGTGCGAAGACCTGAATGAAGTGTACACTTTGCACTCTTCCAATAAAGTAAAAAAGTGCGGTGCACTGAAACAGCACGTTGCATCGCCTGGCAAAACTGAAAGCAGCCCACACGCCAAAAATGAGTATTTTTGCATGCGGGCAATGTGAATGAACCCTTAAAGCTGAACTCCACACAGATAATAAACAAAACAGTAAGACACCAGCACTCCAAAGGTTCTCCAAGCACAGTTCTTTTTATTCCATGTGTAAAGTTACATCACCAAGTGCAGCAACGTTTCGGAATGCATTCGGTTCCTTCATCAAGCAAAACAAAGTGATACATGTGTATGTCTGTGAAGGTTCTCATTCATATCTGTAAAAAAATCAGTCAAGGCAACTTTCAAGGCCAGAAACAGATTATGTGGATTGGAGCGACATTCACCATATTTATTCCCAGATTATTTTTTGTACAAGTCATTCTGAATTGAGAAAGCTGGTCGGATGTCTAGTGAAACATCTTCAAATTAAAAAAAAGCAAGTCCAGTTGCCTTGACTGATTTTTTTTACAGATTTGATACATGTGTAGTGTAGTGAGTACAATATATACATAAGTGCAGGCAAAAAAAAACCCAATGTGATGATGACACAGATATTAAAGACACAAGTGAATGCAGATCTGTATTCAATAATATACAGTATATTTGAATGCATTTCTAAAATGTATGTACTTGTATTTATATAACGCCGATAATATACACAGCGCTTTACATGCACAATCACATCAATCCCTGCCCTCAGGGAGCTTATAGTCTAAGGTCCCTATTTCACATGCATACATACAGGGCTGATTTAGACAGGAGACAATTACCCTACCAGCATGACTTTGGAGTGTGGGAGGAAACTGGAGTACCCGGAGGAAATCCACGCAAACACAAAGAAAACTTTGAAATCCACATAGCGAATGGAACTAAATTTAATGTGAGATTATCCTCTTTTAGTCCCATATAGAGCAACATTCAGACTGAAAGAGGGAAAGATTGGGAGCCAATCAGGTGTGCTGCATGCAAATGTGTTGACAAAAGGCATGCTGCTAGGCTAGGATAGCAGAGTGAATAGGGAGTTAAACTCACCTGTCTACTACTGGTCTCTCACTGTCCAGTTAGCAGAGGAGAGAGGACAACACTGTATTCCTTGAAGTACATGTAAACCCAGTGGCGTAACAATCGCCATAGCGACCCAGGCGGCCTCTATGGGGCCTGGGGCACAGTAGGGCCGGGCCAGATGCCGAGCGGACCGCCTGGGTCACTATGGCATCCTCTGCTGGTGGCTTTCACTGGCGGCTCTGAAGAAGAATGCGCTTCTGTTCAGATCACTGGCCGTAATGCTGGAATACTGTAAGGACTAGCACGCCTTGATTCAAGTAAAAATATACCTCTTGTATTTAGATAATATTGGCTTATCTCAGAGTTCAGCTTTGAAATCTCATATATTCTTTTCTCAGTACTGCTGGTAGAGTTCACTTTCCTGGGTGTCAGTGTTCTGTGTCTCCCAAGTGTCAGTGCTCTGGGTGGCCTGCTCTCCTGTGTAGATGCTCTCATGCTGTGAATCTGTAGATGTCAGGAAGGTGTCAGCAGTGACAGAGGTCCTCTCTGGCCAGCTTTCCTCATCTCCCTTGACAGTGACTTCCTTTGTACTCACTACCACACACTCACCTGTCACCATCACTTCCTACTGCGGACCTGCTCCCATCAGCTGATTGGTCCCAGGTGGAGATTGGCAGATGAAGTAGTGAGTGGCATTGACACAGAGTCGGTCCACACCATGAACCAATTGATCAGAGCCACTGCCTGAAGCTGCATTTGCATCTGAAAGACTTGTATATAGAGAGAGAAGCAGTTTTAAAGTGCACAAAAACCCATCAGCCCTGACCCTTACTTTACATAAATAATGAGCAGTAGGAACTAAAGAAGAACTTCGGATACAGAATGTAATTCCAACCTGTAAAATATCTGTGTAAAGGTGGCCATACACTTTACAGCCATCACAAGACCTTATTCTTGCGATGGTTGTAATGTAATTAAAAAACCGTACAATCTGCCCATCTTGGGCAGGCAGATCGTACTTGCGATCATCGCAAGCCCGCACCCCTGAGGGGAGGGCTTGCGATGACCGCAATGCTGAACGGGCAGTGTGCGCGTGCGCACACCGGCCCGCCCGGCATTTGTCTCCCGAGCACCGTTCAAACCAGCCGAAAATCATAAGATTTTCAGCTGGTTTTCTAGCGTGCTTCTTAGACAAAAGACGTGCGACCGTACAGTAGAAACAGTCGCACGTCTTCATTCACACAGCACGATTCTCGTACGATCGCAGGATTTCCCGCGATCTCTCTATTCACTATAGCCCGTACAGCAGCCTAAGGCAGGCGAACAGCTCAGCTCAGCCATGCTTGGCGGCATTCGGCTATTCACTTACTGCCATTCGGCCCTTATGAAAATAGGAGCGCGCGGCAGCTAGTAAACTGCCGAAGCTTCAGGTCAGCCGATTCAGATGTTGGATGGACTGAGTCGAACTACTTCTGCACCTCGGCTCAGCCGAACATGCAGAGCATGTTCGGCTGACCAAAGGAAGCCGACGTATGGCTGATTTTAGCCGATGTACGGCTCAAATCAGCCGTACTGAGATGAAAGGGAATAGCCGAATAAAAAAATTTTTATTCTTTGCTTAACTTTTTTTTCATTGTTCTTTTTTTTTACATTCATTTAAACATTTTTTTTTTTACTTGTTTACATTTTTTCTATTCCGCTCGCTACCTCGGAGGTAGAGAGCAGAATAGACGAGACGAATGCCGCTCGCCGGCATACGGCTATTCACTCACTGCCAATCAGCAGTGCTGAGATGAAGTGAATAGCTGAACGTCGTTCGGCTCAGTTATTCCCTCGGCTGCCTTCTGCAGCTTCGTGAATAATCCTCTATGTGTTGGTGTATATTCACATATTGATGTTTCATTATGGAATTCAATAAAGCTTCGATTATGATTGGGGATCCTTGGGATGCGGTCTGTTTTGGATACTGAAGTGGT